AATAATATAGTGAAGAGAGAGAAAATACTCAGATTTCAGAGAAAGAAAAGTCACATTTAACTTGAGACGCCAGGAAAATAATGTCTGATTTGTATTTGCTTTCCTCCTTTTTTTGAGAGGGGAGCTTTTGTGGAGGGTGGGTCGGGAGAGTTCTGTGGAGAAACGGCGGGAGCAGGTGCCTTTGGGAGATAGCTGTCGGCCTGACGCAGCCTGAATTGGGAGCCTGCAGATGTCCCTGTGAGCAAAATCCTCGAGGACGGGCAGCAACGAAGCAGTCCTCAAGGACTGGGCAGCAATGAAGGCTTTTGAACGTTGGAATAAAATGGTAGTCACACGGGGGGAAACAGTCTGTGATGCTGCTTTATGAACGTGTGTGGAGAGAGCCTTGAGGTACAACTGGAAGGTGTCAGGTTGTCGGGATGCTTTAGTGGGGATGAGACTCTAGGCAAGTTAACTCCCTTCTCAATGCCTCAGTATCCTCATCTGTAAAATGGGAATAATGCTGTTGGTGCAGGTAGGGATTAAATTAGCTCCTGTAAACTGCTTCAGAAATTTTATCTGTGGTAGAGGTTGTTGCGGTCCGTTACCCAGCGGCAGCAGAAAAAAGCCTGCACTGTCAGAAAGGATATTGGTGACATTTGTAGGGAGTTTCTTTGAAGTTTGATTTTTTTTTAAAGATTTTTATTTATTTATTTGACAGAGAGAGCGAGCAGGAGCAGGGGGAAGGGGTGGAAGGAGAAGCAGACTCCTCACTGAATAGGGAGCCTGATGCGGGACTCGATCCCAGGATCCTGGGATCATGACCTGGGCCGAAGGCAGACGCTTAACCGACTGAGCCATCCAGGCGCCCCCTGATTTTTTTTTTTTTTTTAATGTGTTTACATGGAAGCTGATAGCATTTTTCTAATTTGATTTTTTTGTTGTTGTCAAATGTCCCTAATAACATCCTTTTTAGGTGACAGAACAGTAACCTTCTGACATGAGTTTTCTCCTGAGGCTTTCAGTATACCTGGACCTTCTGGAACACCTGCAACAGGTTTGAAAGTCAGTGTGTTAGGATGAGGTTTCTTTGCTCCCGTAATAAAAATGGTATTGTAGATCCCTTTAGGAAGTCAAAGCCAACTGAAGTATGAGAAGGTGAGGTTCCTGTGAAGAAAAGTGGCAAAATAGGAGTTTATGTAAAAACGAAAGAAACGTACTTATAGTCCGTCTGCTTTTCTAAAGCAGAGACAGCATTTAGTTGGGGTGTGGTTTGTGTCAGGAAAACGTCCGATTCTGGAGACAACGGCCTTACTGCGTCAGAGGAACTTTGGAATTGAATTCTAAATAAATCAGTTAAGTGGATTAAAAGAATTACAGATTTTTTTCGTGTCAACCACTTAAGCATGAGATTTGCCCAGAGAGCTGGCCAGCTTGTCATCTGGCTCGTGGTCCTTCTGAGCCTCATGGTAAATCAGACTCCCCTAATGCAGATGTGCTAGATCCAGCTATAGGGTACTGCCTGCAAGCGCAGCACGCCTCGTCTGTCGGTCTGTCTGCACGACACACCTTCTCTCCCCGCGTGTGTATGTGAGCTGTGTCCTGTGGCGCACACACGTGGGCTCTCCGCCGCTGTTTAGCTTCAGGCAGAAACCAACGTGGGTCAGTCTTCCCCCCGCTCAGAGCATGTGGACACTTGCTACCTTCTGGAAGGTTAGTTCTTATAACTTCATCTCTTAGGTAAATAAATGTATCTGTTTCATGAGATGTCTTCAGTTTCTGAGATCAAAGTGTTTTTTAGTTCCTTACAAAAGAAGAGAGGACTGTCACAGAGCCAGGCTGCTTGGAAAAGCTCACACTGATACCTTTTTTTTTTTTTTTTTAAATACTTTATTTATTTGTCAGAGAGAAAGAGAGAGAGAGTGACAGTACAAGCAGGGAGAGCAGAGGGAGAGGGAGAAGCAGACTCCCCGCGGAGCAGGGAGCCCGACGCGGGGCTCGATCCCAGGACCCTGAGATCATGACCTGAGCCGAAGGCAGACGCTTAACCGACCGAGCCCTCCCAGGCACCCCCAGACTGATACCTTTGAAAAGGGGTTTTGAAGGTCAAGGATGTCTCTGCTGGCTGCCACTTCTCTTGCTTTCCAGTTGACTTGTCCTTACCCCTGATCAGGAATGTCCGGTGTTGTTTTTGGAGCAAAATTGAGGCTTTAGTTTCTGAATCAGCCATGAGGAGTCATCCATTTCTCCCTGTAATCCTAGACTGCCACCTTCCTATTCTTGATCCTACCAGCTTCCTGCCAAAGATTTTTGCCTTATTTGCTCCCTGCTTTTGATGAGCTTAACCTCACCCTGTGTGTCACTGAAACAGCATGCCACCCCATCCTGCTGAAATAAAGCAAGGATTTTAGAACACAAATGTGATCTCAGATGAAGTTGGACCGGAGTCTACTTGGGTGTGTCCACACCCCAGCTGTGTTGAAGCTTGGGGTGGCTTCTGACGGCTCTGCTCTTTCTTTGCATAATATCTGGTTTTGCTGTCTTGTAGCTGGAAAATAATGCCACTAAAATACCAGAATGATAGTGTTGAACCAAGATGAGCCATTTCAAATGGCCAGATTCTGTAATATCACTTTCAGCATGAATGTCTTCTTAAACCCACAGTTACTCCCAAATTCAGGACCTTTAGAATAATGGGACTTAATCATAGGTGTTTTCAGGTGCAATGGAGAAAAATCATGCTGCCCTTGCAGCCCTCATGCAATTATACAAGAATTTGAAGGAATTCATGACATTTGACATCGTTGGTTATACGCAATTATGCTTCAATCCTAAAAATTGCGAAGAAGTAGAAATATTTTCAGTGCCAGCAGAACGTGGGTATCTACGTGCTTTGTTACGTACCCGAGGTTTTGTCTAGGAGTAGAACAAGGCCCCTTGTCAGGATCTAGCACGTTTTATCTGGAATCCATCCCGTGAGAAAATGGAGCTCCCTAGAAACACTTGCCGCTAATCCTCTACAAGGTGGTTGAGATTCATAATGGTGACTGAGAACATTTTATGTAGCAGAAGTGCTTTTAAGTCGTTGAAGAAGGGTGAAAGTATGTTCAATATAACTTGGCATCTTTACTTCACCACTTTGCACCCACGTCCTCCCGTGATCCCAGGTGCCTCTGACCCGCCGACACCCTTCCTCACAGCCTGTGACCTCCTCCCCTGCCCCGTCCTCCCCACTTCACTCGTGAGAGCCACGCCTGAGCCCTTGTCGTCTCCTGGAACGGCGTCTGCTGGGGTGGAATCACATTCCCTCATCCCGCTCTGAGCACCCCCGTTCCACTTTCTCGCCTTGGAAGAACCAGGGCCTCCCCGCCACACATCCCTTGGCCGGCAGTGCCCGGCGCTGCAGCTGGGCCCTGGCAGGACCCTCGCAGCCGTCTGTCACACCTTTGCGGCTCGCCTGCCCGGAAAGCCTGCGGTCCCACCGCGCGCCAGCTGCCCCCCTTCTCCACACGTCTGGGCTGCAGAGAGTCCCGCAACTGGTCCACGTGGCGCCACCAGCAGCTCATGACCTTCACTCTCGCTGGGCTCTTACTGGTCCTGTGGGCTTCCATTTAATGTCTCAAGTTGTTTCTCTATTTCCGAAGCCTGTCCCCCACCCCCGCCCTCCAGATATTTGTCTACAGTGCCTGTCCAACCATCTCATGCACCCCCTTGAGGCCTTCCGCGGCCCCTCATTGCCCTGAGAACAAGATCCGAACTCCATGATCCGACCTCGAAGGCTCTCTGTGACCTGGTTTCGGTGTAGTTCCCTGGACTCCTCCGTCAACCCCCCCCCCCCCCCCGTCACACAGCATTTGCTGGCTGCTTTGAACTATGTGCAGTTTCTGGTGGTGAACACGAGCCTTCTCATCTTGAACTTGCTGGCCCTTTATCTGGAACACTTTCCCTGGCTCCTGGTCCCACCCCCCTCCAGATGAAGTCTTTATTGCTTTCCAGGTTTTAGCATAGATGCTAAGACCCCTTTGCTGCTCTCTCCCCACCAGAGAGTAAGTTAAGTACCCTTTCTGCCACCCCCACTCCCACCCCCACCCTGTGCTTCTTCTGTATTAAGACTTCTCCTTTTATATTGCCTATTTATTTGTCTGGTTCTCGCGAGAGACGGATCACTGGGAACACAGGCACGATATCTGTTTTGTTCACGGTTGTATACTGAGGATCTGGTAGCTGGTCTTGCCACACTGTAGACATTTAATAAAAATTTGGGGGTGAATCAAGGGATTCATAAGTTGCTCGTTACATGATTACTGGGTGATAACTAGGAGAGCATCAGCTAACGTTTATTGAGACTTTACCAGGCACCAGGGATTGTTTTAATAACCTCACAGGTATTAATTTCTTTCTCGCAGCTAGGGTAGGTCCTCCCACTTTGCTAGTTCTATGAATAATGAAACTTGGGGGGTGGTTGGCTGTGCCTTTAATCACTACTTCTGTCCTGCTTCTGCGCATGTACGCGGGACCTTGTTAGCTCCGAGGATGAGCATGGGGCCTGGGTGTGCTCTCTGGCCCAGAGGACTTGTCGTCAGAGGGGAAGAGATAGTAAAAGGAACATGCTCTTTCTCGATGGCCATTCATATGTGGTACTGTGGAAAGACAGGGGATTTGTATTTTAATTTTTTAAAAGTTAGTGATTTATATTTAGTATACACCTAATTTAATACTAGAACACACTGTTTTCTAGCCATTCTAATAGAATCGAATGTTACAAAACAACTCAGTAACATAGAGACTATTTACATCACTGGGTAATACCCTGAGCTTACAAAAGGGAGTTAAATAAAGAAGTTCATTAAGTTCCTGTAGATCTCCAGCTTCTTAGTGCTCAAAAAATGGAATTATTTTTACCAAAATTGAAGTGGCACTCATCTTTGGTTTTAAGAAGGGCATATCACCAAATAGAGTTCTGTGTGCAGGGCAAAAAACCCCTTGATTTTTGAAATTTATTGTTACTGTTGATCTTACAGGCGAATCATGAAAAAAGTCTCCATGGAGCCATCTGAGCGACTGGCCAGTCTCCAGGCTCTGTGGGACAACCAGACCGTGGCCGAGCAGGGCCCCTGTGGTGAGCATGCCTTTTAAAACCAAATTATAAATGGCTGCATGGATGTCCCCCTGCCAGGAAGTTACGTCTATTCCTAGTATGTTGCTGTAAAGGTGCAATTAGTTTTAAGGTGTAATTAGCACCGCATAGACTTTAGATTGGTGGACAAAAGTCCTATATTTAAGCTGTATTGCATGCTGCTATGTACTTACTATAGAACAGGGGGTTAGAATCTTCGCTGTTTTCCCAAACAGAAAGAACAATCAGCATTGTCAACATCGGCCATATTTAAACTTTTAAATTTTAACTTCAGATAAATCATTTAGCCGAAAACCTGTCACATTTCTCTTGTGGATTTCAGGTGGATTTTCTCAGATGTATGCCTGTGTTTGCGACTGGCTTGGATTTTCATACAGAGAAGAAGTACAGTGGGTAAGTGTGTCTGTGTGCACAGGTGCGTGTGTATGCACATGCACGCCTGAATATTCCAGTATGTGACTGGCTTCTTTCTTTTTTTCTCCCCCACCTCCATTCATTTTTTTGCCTAAAGTCTTCCTTCCTCAGATTCCGTGAAAATCTGTCTGTATCATTATCTAATTCTCTTTGCATCCCTCTTTCCCTGATGATCTTTGTGGACTATTTACATGATTGAATTTTATTTCAAATAGGATGTGGATACAATTTATCTGACGCAAGACACCAGGGAATTGAATTTACAAGACTTCAGTCATCTTGACCACAGGTAAGCTACTTCTTTCTTCCCTTCCTTTTACAACTAATTGTGCCTCCAGAACTATATTTCTCTGCTGGTGCTTACGGACATATGTGATCTCCAGAAAATCCTGTTACAAGGGAAATCGGGAGAATCTAAGCATCTCTGAATCTTGCCTTCCAAGAAATACTTTCAGATGTGTTCATTTGGGAATGAAGTGCCTGTGTGTACCTCAGATCCAGAGTTTGTGCTTAGAAACCGTGGAAATAGAATTCTCGAGTTCTTGTAACAGCCCACGAAAGTCTATATAATTATCTGCCTGTATATATATATGATATGGTATTAATTTGCCTAATTGCCATTAGAACATTTTTCTAGGAGGAAATTTTATGCTGTAATCCTAAGAAATGACTTTTCGATTATAATTTCTTTAGGAATTGGGGATTGCTCGGGTATAGACGTGCATATGGTGGTGGAAATCCGTTCGCCAATATCCGCCTTGTGATAATGGTAGTACAACTGTGAATCCTGTTACATGTTATTTGAGAGCCTTGTAGGTTTTAAGACCTTGACTTCCGCATATTTAGGGCTGTATTTAGGGCTATGGCTAATGTGACTAGGCCCCAGAGAAGAAGCTTCATTCGGTCTATCCAAGTTCTTTTGCTCCCTGACAGAGCTGAGCGGTGTTGCAGTGTCTTTGCTGGTGGTTTATCCTGGGTTTCCCTGTCTCCTCCACCCTGGATATCCTGTTACTTATTTTAAGTGGCAGGTATTAGTCCTATCCCAGTGAACCTCAGCCTGGGAAATCTTCCATCCCTGTTTGGAATTGAGAGAGAGAATCCTGGGTTTCTGGTTGTCCCTTTTATGCCACGCGGACAGTTGGGATTGCAGACAGCATTGTTATGCTTTCTTACCACCAGCATCTTGCCCCGAAAAATGCCATTTCAGATTATTTCTCCACCTATCTCAGGGAAATCTAGCATTGTACAGGGTGAACCCCCAAGAGTTCAAGCCAACTGAATTGAGCAGAGAACACGGATGCTAGCTGGAGGTAGCTTGTCTCTGCATAGCTGGGCATATGGGGGACGGTGAGGCAGGGTCTGCTGGGTCTGTAGTTGTGACCGAAATCAAGTGCCAATAGCCACTGGTTCTCAAGCTTGGATCTGCTTCCTTCTTGTGGAGCAGGCAGTTTCTTTCCTGCTTAGGACCGATCTCCCTCTTCCTACATACGAGGAAACTTCATACTCCCATTCAGGCTTGCCTGTTTCCTGTGTAGCTCATGAAAAAGTGAACTGAGAAACAAAAAGGGAAAGTATTTGCTCTGCAAGTTTTTTTTACAAAATAAAACAGAAAATGGCATGTAGAATAAGAGGAGTGGGTAGGCTTGCCGTATCAGAGCTCAGTGTTTTTGGCCCCGGGATCCCTTTATAGTTCTTGAAAACGGTTGAGCTTTTGTTTATGTGGGTATATCTTTTGGTACTGATCATCTTAGAAATTAAAACTAAAATTAAAAACATTGATTAATTCCTTGAGAGATCTCAATAAGCCTATTACATGTTAACATCGGTACCAGTTTTATGAAAAATAACTATTTTCCAAGACAAAAAATAAGTCAGCCAGAAGAGTGCATTCGTTTACCTTTTTGCTGATCTCTTTATCTTCGTAACCTCATAGAAGACCACTCACTCTGTTGTGATTCGTGGCCCTGAGTGAAATACATTAAGAAAATGCAGACTTAAGCGGACACATAGTTAGAAGAGGGAGTATTTTTAATAACCTTTTCACTAAGCTATGGATATTCTTCTTTGATCGTTCACCACAACTCAGTAAGAGATGGTTTTCTAAAGATCACTTGGCAGGGTGCAATCTGAAACCGTTCAGTGCACATTTTGTTACATTAAAATGCATTTGGTCCATCTTGTACTTTGATGGGTCCTACCTTTAGATGATTTCGTAGCATCCTGCATTGGTCATTTAGGAAATACTGGTTTGCGGAGTTTTGCATGGCGTCCAGATATTCCGCTGTTGTACAAAAGGGAGAAAAGAAGACATTTGTTAGCACTGCCGATCTCATCCAGAAAGTCGAAGTGTGGCAAAGCTGTCAAGCTCATTGTGGCAGATAAAGGTCTTCCCAAATTTAAATTTTTTTTTTAAAGGTATAATTTTACTATTGGAAAAAAGTGCTGTCAGGTGATTTCCTTGAAGTGACTGGCTAACTTTTTACGCCTTAGAGAAAATACCTGCTAAATCCCAAGTCTCGATAACTGTGTTTTGTCATTTTTTTCATGGTGTTCTGTGAAAAAAGGGAGCTAGTTCTGCTTCTGACTCTATCACAGGGATACTTTACCTGAGACAGTGATCCCCTTTGGTACGTAGAGGAAGCATTTTGTGCATACTTCTGTTTTGTCACACAGGCATGTACTCAAGGGCTGAGATTTAATAAAATGAGTACTTTTTACTGCTTCATTAGGGGCATTCTTAAAGGAAACTGGCAGCTGGGTGCGTGGTGGTGGAGAACAGTGACCAGCATCCCAGCTTGGCGCTGCTGAGTTGGTTCCTGCTGAGGCCCGAGCCTTTTTCCTGCTGTCCCTTCTCTACCCGCCATGCAGACGTCTCCACAGTGTAAAGGACAATTGATTTTCGTGTTACTGTGAAAATACTTTTGAACTTGTGAAGCCCCTAAGGGAGTCTCAGGGTTTCCCGGGGTCCATGGACCCTAGTTGGAGTGAAGACATTGTGTAGGGCAGCTAGAGGTGTTTCTCCAGGTTTCTTTGTTACCCCCTTAATGATTTTTACACCATTCATAGTGGCAGTGCTGAATTTTCCAGCTTACCCACTGTACTTAATTTGGTGATTAATCTGTCACCAGAGGGACATCTGGTGTCTAGGGAAGCTACTAATACATACGGTTACCTGAAAAATGTAGAAATATGTAGAATCCTATCCGCAAGTGAGAAACCTTGTCAAAACTTAGAATTTACCTACAGATCTTTCCTAATTCCTTAGCTGGAGAATTTTCATTTTGTCAGGAAACACTGCATTCATAATCATCTACTTTTCTTAACCTGCTTAAGGGCCAGAAGGATGTTCTTCATTACTGAGACTTTAGATGATAAGGTGGCATACCTTTTCTGTAAAGGGCCAGATAGTAAATATTTTAGGGCTTTATGGGGCAGAGAGTCACTGTTGCAATTATGCACCGCTGCTGGTGTAGATCGAAAGCAGCTCCAGACAGTACGTGATTGAATGAGTGTGACTGTGTTCCAATAAAACTTTATTTACAAAAATACGCACTGTGGGCTCTGGTTTGCTCATGCCTGCTCAGCATCAGTAGCCTCTCAAGTGGGATGTAGATACCCAAAGAAAAACGCAAGATGAGCTACCAAAGAATAGAAAAATGAGCTTCTATTTATGTTCATTGTTAACTCATTTTAAAATTTCTATTTTTGTTTTGTAATATATAATACTATTATAGTATTTCATATATAATAATTATGAAGAAATTAGGGAGTTCTCAAAAATTTTTTTTAATTTTTTTTTTTTTTTTGCCATGGGCTTAGTAACAGTGGGCATCACTGCTTTAGATGTCCTCTTTCCTACTAGTACCGAAATACTTAGACTTTTTTTTTTTTAAGATTTTATTCATTTATTTGACAGAGAGAGACACAGCGAGAGCAGGAACACAGCAAGGGGAGTGGGAGAGGGAGAAGCAGGCTTCCCACCGAGCAGGGAGCCCAATGCGGGGCTCGATCCCAGGACCCTGGGGTCATGATCAGAGCCACAGGCAGACACTTAACCATCTGAGCCACCCAGGCGCCCCTAAACACTTTGACTTTTTCAGAACTCTGTCTTTCTCTCAATCTTCAAAGTTTATCCTCTTTTTCTGGAGGATGTAATTTGTCCACATGGTTCTTACTATTAAAATTAGCACCAGTTTCTATATAAAGAGATTACTCTCAGTTTTATTTGATGGCCTGTATTAATAGTTTTTAGCCAATCAAGTTACAACCAAGTATATTGGGTGAACATCTGTGTTTATTAGAAGTGGGAGCATGCTTATCTATGAAGGAAATCTGCACCTACTGGCCGTAGTTTGGTAGGATTCATAGTGGTACAATCTGAGTGTGTGATATGGGTCAGTCTCTGAGTTTGAGAGGTCTTACAAGAATGTTGGTGACTCTCTCATTTGGGTGTGAATTATGGAGAAGAGAACAGAGGAATTGGACAGATTGCAGGTGCCACGCGTTGAGCTGGCATTTGTCAGCAAATAGGGGCCGTGCTTCTCATATGCTTTGATGGGTTTTCCCACAGTGGCTCCGTGTTTCTCTGTGTGACCATAATTCCCGATTGGCTGTCATTCAAAGCTCTATCTTTTCATTTCATTCTTTCTTGTATTTAGTCATCATAGTTAGAAGCATCCCTTCTTAAGGGTCCCTAAAGCCATTAGTGATCCTGGAATGGAAGTTCCACGAGGGCTGGGCTGTGTCTGTCTCGCTCCTGCTGTCTGATGTGATGCTCTTGGGTCAAACCAGTGGCTCAGAATACAGGATTTTCAAGGGAAACTGAGCTCCTCTAGGGGAGCAGATCATTATCCTGGGAGATTGAGGGGATTTTTTTTTTTTTTTAAGATTTTACTTTATTTTATTTAAAGATTTTATTTATTTGACAGAACAGGGAGAGCGAGCATGAGTGTTGGGGTGGGGCAGAGGGAGCAGGAGAAGCAGACTCCCTGCTGAGCAGGGAGCCTGCCTTGGGGCTCCATCCCTGTTCCTGTACCTTCAGCCACCTCACTAAAGTCTTAAGGGGCCCACCTAGGAGCTTCAAGGGAAATTTATAAGCAACTTGAATGCTGTGATCAATGACTAACTAAAAGGCTGTATCACAACCGAATGTAGGACCAGACACCCTGTTGTTGCTGAATAAGCATTCAGGGCTGAGGATGACGGTGTGCATGCTAGATCCATCCAGTTACTTCCTGGAGAAGAATAGCAATTGGGAAGTACTTGGGAAAATGCCCACTCCCTTGTTAT